CAGACTACACTACTCTCCAGGAAGTGGATCAGTGTTGGATCTATTAAAAAAAATTGAATTAATAGTTTGATTTACTTGAAATTTGATACATAGCTTGCCTATTTCTTAGTTTAAGAGGAACATTACTTTTGTTTCTAGGAATAGTACTCAGGACCGATCTTTTGTTTCCAGGGTTTGGATTAATATATAAAAATTTTGTGAGAAGACCAAGGGTCACCTTGCAGATCCATGTCCCGATAGATGGCATCATTTGTCGGCTTAAGCAGAAGCTTTGTTGGGAGGTACGCCCGTGCGTATGCGAGATCCTTTCCCTTGCATTTAACCCGAGCCTTCCGAATGCGAATACGCAATGCTAAACACTCGGCTACTGCAGCCGCCGAAAAGATTGTTTAATGCAGTGAATATATCTATGAACCAAAAAAGTGCTGCGTGTTTGTGTTTTTCATAATTTCTTAAAATATTAAATTTATTAATGCAATTATTTATCAACATTTTATCATTAAGGTGTGCAGCAAAGAAAAAGGGTATTTTTGGAAAAAAAATTTGAAGAGAACTTCTTTAATGAATGTTTCATATTTTCAAGGATATATTTATTTATATATAAATTATTTTTAAATATTTTGTACAAACGAAAGTCTTGCACTCATCCGCCGAGGTCTGAAATAAAAGTTTCCATTTTACTGAGAAAAAAAGTGTTATAGATTATTTGCACGTCCTACAAAGTGGTCCACTATTTACATAAACAAGTGGAACCCAAAGATGCCGCATCTCCTTCAAATATATGTTTAAATTTAGCTGAAAAATCTGACCATGTTTTCCATGCTAAATTTACGAAATATCCACGGGTCTCTTTATGTCTGAAAAAAATTGTAGTACCAACAAATAAAGGTTCGAGTCGATTGGATGTCAAGTTTTTGAGTTACAATGACAAAAAGTTTCGAAAACGCGACTTCGAAAAACACGCTTTTGAAAAAAATAACAATTTTACACTTAAACTAAAACGACTGTTTGATTTCACATAATTTGGGATTATGCCAAAAATATTAAAATTACAAATAGAGGTCGAAAAGTATATTTTTTTTGATTGCCTAAGCTATCAAAGAATCTACTTTTTGAAAGTGTCACACTGGTAAAGTTCCTTAACCAAATTTTGTGTTGATATTTAAGTTTTAACCGGAATAAAAAAAATATATTTTCAATCGAAAAAAATATAAATTCTTTGTATCCAATTACTTGGTCTATAATTTTTTTTTTAATATTTATGACTTTTTTGCGAATGTTTAAGTCACCGCTTTAGCTATGATTTTAGGATGAAATTCTGACAGCGGAAAGGTTAGAAATCTTTTCAGTTTTCAAAAGCATATATTTTTAATTTAATATTTTTTTTTTTATAAAAAATAAAATTCCTTCCACTGTTAATTGCGTAAAAATACAGCCCTTGCTTGTTTTAAGGCAATTCCACGCTACTGTTGTGCAAATATACGCACTACTACAAACAACAACGAAACAAGAAAAAGAAAACGAATAAACAGTAACAACAAGCACTACAATAATAACAACGAGCGATAATGAAAACAAATATACGCACTTGTAAAAACGCTAGTAATTGCTTTAACAGCAGCAGCAGCAGCAGTAACAGCAAATAAAGTGAGTGAAGCTGAAATGAGGATTGTAGGTAAAGCGTAGAGAATGAGCACAAAAGAATAAGAAAAAATAAAAAATAATCAAATAAATAAAAATAAATGTGTATAATAGACAAAAGTGCTTACAATCAGTGAGTGTGAAACGAAAGAAAGTGAATAATGAAATAAAATAAAATAGAATAAAGCGTTGAAAAGAAAATAAGAGGAAAATAAATAAATGAAAATATGGAAAAAAAAAATAAATAAATAAATCCAACTAAGCCGCAAGTTCAACAAGAGAAATAAAATCTACAAGAGCGCTCTACAAGCACTGCGCCACTTAGGCCGTTTAAGTTGAGTGTCCCTAACACACATACACACATCTACGCATACATGTTACATATGCGTAAGCACATACAAAGCAATTGAACTCTGGCTCACACGCGTACATGTACATATATGTAGTGGCTTTATATTGCTTGACTTGCACGCATATAAGCTTTCATATATGTATAACTACACATTTGTGTATGCACACACACACATATATACACAATTTGACCTACCATTTGACGCGCGCTCTATCTTCAAGTTGCCTGCCATTCATCACCGTCAACTGCCATCACACGAGCTAACAGTTCAGCCGTTTGTACTTTTTCCTGCCACTCAGCAACGCATTAGTGTGTGTGTGTGTGTGTATTTTATTTGCTCCATTCTGCACGTTTGCGCGTTGAGCTCTAATTTTTTCTTCTACGACATCGAGTATATATTTATTTACATATATTTTTTTTGTTGTTCGCTGCTCGCTAGGCTTTATCTCTTTGCCGTATGTGAAAAATGTTTCCTTTGAGGATTTTCACTCTCTTTGAATGACAGTGATTTACGTTGTATGAATGTGTTGTCTTTGCATGTATGCATGTATATATATGTATGTATTTCTATGTATTTATATATGTGTATATGTGTTTTTGTATTTATATGCCTCCAAATTTATTAAATTATGATTTCATTGCTGCAATATGTATATACATACATACATATATATATATATATATATATAAGTATGAGTATAGTAAACAGTGCTACATATAGACGATCTTGTTGGTAGTGTTCCTAAGAGCTTAATTAAACTTCACTGCACAAGTGTTAGACTCAATGATGCTCATAAAAATTTAACGTAATTGATGGCAAGCACTAAGCTGGGTGGTGTGAGCTGTTTAAAAAAAAAAACAAAAAAAATACTGCTACATACACTAATTTAATAAACAATATCAAGTAATAGGTTAAAAAGCCTCAAAATATTTAAACAAAAATTTTGATCTTTTTAGGAAGACATAAAGAACTAAAATGTGATAGGCTACTCTCTCTACTCTGTAGTTCCTCTTTCTCTTCTGTTAATGACTTATAGGGTTTGGTGTTTCTTCTTCTTCAAGGGATGACTCTACTTTTCCAATGCCTATTCAGTCCAAAACTTTTCTGCAACCTCACTAATATCGAGCTGCTTTGAAGAGAGCGACATAGAGGCAAGCGATCTGCGTCAATTCTCTTGCTCCAGGATTTTTTCAACTATTTTCGTATAATGGAATAGCTTAGCGAGGAAGCTATTGGTTATCGCCATCTTCATTGAGTGGGAATTTCGGCTCATCACTACCGGACTTCACTTTCACTGTCATTAACAAGACTGGAAAAGTCAGTGTACTCTAGACGTCGGTGACTAGATTACGTACTTAGTTCCCACATAAGTGAGTTACAGTCCTGAAACCTTCTGTAAATTTCTCTATTATTAAAATAGTTTTCGAATAAGCATAAGCATAAGTCAGCAGCTCATGTGATTCTAATTCTGAATTAAAAAAATATTCATTCGGATCTAGAAAATGACGGTGGGCTTCAGTCTTTCACACAATACGCTCGACAAGACCTTATAGGTGATATTAAGGAGGCTTATACCACGGTAATTAGCCCAGGCTGTGGGATCCCCTTTTTATGGATTGGGCAGAGCACAGCGAAATTCCAATCGTCGGGCATTTTTCATCCGATCATATTCTGCAAAGTAGCTGATGCATGCACCTTGTCATCTTTTCACCGCCATATTTGAATAGTTGTTCCTGTAGGCCAGCAGCTCCCGCTGCTTTGTTGTTATTTACGCTGGCGATTGCTATTCGAACTTCTTCATAGTGAGGTAATCGTCATCAATCAGGGTTTCGGGTTCACCAACTCCGGAGGTTTCTACGTGGCGGGTCCCAAACCCAGTGTACAACCACGCTAGGCGAGTAAGATTAAAGTTTTTACACATTTATAAAGCAAGCCGCTTGCTTCAAGACCGACGTCCGCACCCAGACGCACCTCTGGTAAACAAACGCTGCACTTAGACTCCAGCAGACCATTAAGCCGAATAAGTCGGAGTGGCCCCACTGAAGCTTCCTCTCCCACTAGCCGTGATCCAAGGCTCCACACGGATTACTGCATCTTGAACAAGGGTTGCTCTCGTTTGCAGTGTGATCAAACCTTAATAGCATACCCAGAAGCTTGTCTAAGCCTCATTATGTAAAATCAGATTCATTAAATAAACAATATTGGTTACATTGCAAGAAAAAAGAACTTTCTTCGGCGAGTCCGAGGTTAAGTAGTAATTCTCGTATCAGAAAAATCTTTTGAGGATGGATTTATGAAGAAATTTACAGATTACATTGACACCAGTTTATTGAAAAATATGTGTGTGGAAGAAAAATTTCATGCTTTTGTTATTCTTTTCTATAACCCAAAACCCCTAATTTGAAAAAAATCCGTTGGGTGGAGGCTGTGTTGTATAGTCGTTGAATTTAAATAATTTTCATTGACAAAATTCCTTAGTAAATCAGAATACAAAATGTAGAGTTTCATGCTCTTACATGTCCCTTGACAAATTCATGACCCAAAATATTATATATATGTTTATACAAAGAAACGGAGAATATGATATAGTTCTCTGATATAGATAATTTTTTTTTTTTTTTTTGATGATGTATATGTGTATATATGTGTGCGGAATATCAAATTTTACGCACTTAAAAGTTTTTCTAAGAAATTTATGACCTAAAATATTAAATATGGAAAATCGGTCCCATCTGGGGGGTTTCAACAAATGAACATTTTCAAAGTTTTTTTTATTGCATTTGTGTGCATTTTAAGAGGTAAAAATATGTATAAATAAATAGTAAGCTTAAATAGTAAAATCTTTGGTTAAGTTGTTTTTCAGTCACACAAAGACTAAATTTAAAACTGATTGAAAAAGATTTTTGACCTTTTTGTTTTATTTTTATTTTAACTTCAAAAATATGTCATTTTTTTTATAAAAAAAATTCTAAGCCGCTTAAAAATAATTTTACTTTATCTGATTTCAGAAAATGCTATGCAAAACCTTTCAGGTCTTCGTGAGTACGTTTTATTTTTCTTAATAATTCTGTTTGCATAGATTTTTTTTTTTTAATTTTAGAAAGTTGAAAATTTATTTTATAAAATTTGAAATTAGTAGCAAAAATAAAGCAAAAGTAGAAGAATGTCAAGTGATTAATGTTTTTGAATATAAATAAAATAATCTGAATCTTGCAAACACTAAAAATTATTTTTGCTGACAATATTTGTCTATCTATGGTTTCATATTTTTTTTCATCCAAAAAAACGATATAAAAAATTAAGTTATTCTTTACCCTAATCTAGGAGTAAAAGTTTATATGCCATACGAGTATAATTTCACTTACTCCGTCTGCGTTATTAATTATAAGCCTTTGGGATGAAATTAATGTGAATAAACTACTAAATTGCTTTGTTGTAAAGAGAACTCTTCTGTAGCTCTAACTAAATAAATAATAACTGTTTTCTAACCGCCGTAGCGATTTTCGACTAGAAACTCTGAAAACTCAACGAAAAACTTCTATTTTAATTCAATGAGATTTGTATGACAAATTAGATCATTAAATAAGTTGTCATGAAAAAGAAATTCTTTTCAAGCGAATTATTTATTTTACAGATTTTCCACTGAACGCACGCATAACTGTAAGGCGTTCATCTTAAACAAATAATAATATTATTCTTCAAATTATACACGTACAAAAATATTATCATTATAAGATCAAAAGGCAAAAGAAACAATTGATGCCACATAACTACAGCAACAAAATAATATGAACAATAATATTATTATTCAAAATATGTAGCGCGTGAGGATAAGCTGCCGCGTGCGTTTCGCTAGCATGTGTTCAAAAAGAAGATTAAGTTTCCGAAAAATAAACAGCCTTCTGGCTAGTGCTCCAGTTACTGCTTAAAGCTTTCGAATTAAGTACGTTGCAATTAAGGAAGAGCAACACCTTTAATAGATTACAAAGAAAACAGGTATATTTACGCGCATAGTAAAAAGAAAAAAATTGTGTAATATTTCAACACATACGCAAGGTATTAACAAATATTTTTAACACATACATATATAAACGAGTTAATTAAAAACTTTCGTCATACTTTATTTATTATTATTTTTTTTCATTTTAAATTATTTTATTTTGTTTTATTTCATCTCATATTACTTTATTTTATTCTATTCTATTCTATTTTATTTTATTTTATTTTATTTTATTTTATTTTATTTTATTTTATTTTATTTTATTTTATTTTATTTTATTTTATTTTATTTTATTTAATTTATTTTAATTTTATTTTATTTTATTTTTTATTTTATTTTATTTTATTTTATTTTATTTTATTTTATTTTATTTTATTTTATTTTATTTTATTTTATTTTATTTTATTTTATTTTATTTTATTTCATTTCATTTTATTTTATTTTATTTTATTTTATTTTATTTTAATTTATTTTATTTTATTTTATTGTATTTCATTTCATTTTATTTTATTTTGTTTTATTTAATTTTAATAACAACTTATTTCGTTCCAGCAAACATTGCAGATATAAGCTCGTACATATTCATCATTATATAAGTTTTCAACTAATATTTAACTTCATACGGTCATAGCTACTCAGCAACTCAAACAAAATCCTGATTAATAACCACAATTACCACTTAATTTAGCCCGCATTCGCTCTCGCTAAACAGCAGCATTCAACTGAAATAGTAAATACTGCACGCAATAAGTGCAACCGCAAAACAGATTTCAAAGGAAAATATACGAGATTTACAGTTAGCATTCATTATTTTGCTGGTTGGTTTTTAATCAAGAGCGTTCTTCCACATATGCCTACACTTATATAAATAAATACATTTAATTATTAAAATTTGTGCATATATGTTCATATGAATGTGTGTATAATTAGCGGTTGAAATTCCTAATTGCGGTGGTTGCCGGTTAAACGAGTAAATTTGGTTCATTTAAAACAATAAAAATTGAGTGCATTATTATTGTTATTGGTTGCAACTATTTATTATTAAATAATTTTTTTTTTTTAATTTAAAAAAAAATTAAAAATGATTTTTATATAACCAAGTCTAAGTGCTTTAGTGCTTTATCAAAAAGGGAGTTATTAAATGTTTGTTTGTACAACATTCTGCTTTTTCATCAACTAAATAGTGCTTCCCGGATATGAATTAGCTTGCTTCAAAGCTTTCTAAAATATCCGATAGCAAAAACCATAACATCTGCGTGGTATGCAATCCATCTTGCCATGCTTCCTGCTGGCCTATTATTTTATGGTCTGTCCACCTACCATGGTGCTCCTGCTTTCATGTGTTGCATTGTTTCGTCCTTTATTTCTTCTTTCTTTCAATGGGCGGGCGGGCTTCCGCCTATACCGAGTCAGATTTCTAGAAATATGCCAGCTTAGAGGTAGGCGCTAATCATATCTACAATAGTAGCAGGTTCGGACAATTTTCGGTTCTTACCTTCAGTATTTCTGCTGGTATATCGTCCAGTCCATATGATTTCTTTGGTTTTACTTTTCTTGCCGCCAGCTGCAGCTCTTCTGTAGTAAAGAGTGGCACTTCGTTTAAGGACTCAGTAGGTCTCCCTTCCTTTCTCTTCCTAATTTAGGAATATTAGGGAGAGACGAGTGCACCCGAACATAAGTTCAGTAAGTGAATGTAAGGTTAAAGAAATTTCAAAGCAATTTGGGAGTTTCGAGCAATTAACGTGCCACTGAAATTAAAGAATTTTTTCATCTACTAAATTTTTATTTAATTTATTTTTAATAAATAAATAAATTACACCAAAATATGTACAGTCAAATTAAATCTGCAGTTTAATGCCACCAAAAGACCCAACAAATCGCGCCAAAGCCATGCCAAAAATAACCACAAACAAAATTAACAATGAAAAATTAATATTAAAATATTAAGACAGTAGCAGCAATAGCAACAACAAAAACAACAACAAAAACAAGTAAAAATTAATGTCCACTCATTTAGCTACTCCTTGTTGGCGTAGAGAAATTCGAAAAGGAAAATCAATAAATTTAAATGACACACCGCGCGCTCTGTGTCGAGTCAGGAATGGCAACAACAACAACAGCAACAACAACAGCAACAACAACAGCAACTGAAACAGCAACCACAACAATAAGTGGAACAATAAATCTAAGTGTATATATTTTTGCATATATATATGCTTCAAATAAATATGTTTGTGTGTATGTTTATATGAACATATGTATATATATATGTATACATGTAGTTGGGTATGTATGCATGTATATACATATGTCTCGCTGTAAATCTGCATATAATAATGTTGGCAACAGTTGTAGTGCGAGCGCCACGAAGTGACAGTGTGCAGTGCCTGTCGCCCGGAAAAGTGGCGACGCCAGGAAGCAAAGGCGGTAGCAGTCTGTAAATTATTAAAGCGACACTGGCAGCGACACACAACTATTACACATACATACATAAATATTTACATGTACATAGAGGTGAATATACAGCAAAATTCACTAAATACATGCATTTGCTGTACATTTTATACATATATACCAGTACGTACGTACATACTCTAATATTAGTTACATCTATATGTATATGTATAGCGTTATTTAGCGGTATACGAGGCTCATCCTGTTCAAGGACCAAATGCATACTTGGCTGAATGTTGGCTTGACTGTTTGACAGCTTGGTGTCGCTACATCGCTGGTGCAACTTATATAATATATACATATATCGATATATATATATATATATATATATTTATATGCATTTATGCTCTTAGGTATGTATGTATAAATAGATACGTACTTGTATATATGTAAGTGTGCTTTATGCATTAGTGTTTGCTTGTTGAGCTAGTAAAAAGTTGAACGTTGTCTAGCTAGCACTACTGATTCCAATGCCAACATTATTAACAACAACAACATTACGCTGATCACCAGCAATATTACTAACATCTTTGCAAATGATTTTACATTTATAACACTGCGAGTGTTTGCATGTATGTATGTTAGGGACGTGTAAGCGAGTTAACTCTGAACACAATTTCCAGTCATTGTCAGTCGCTTTACACACTTTACACTCCTTCAATACAATTCTGTTTTTATATTTTTTTTTTATTTTATTTTTTTTTTTTTTTGCAAACTAGCACAGATTGTTATGTAAGTTCGTAAGTGCAATTTACTCCCTTTATATTTTAAATGTCATAACATACAAAAACTTATAGAAAAATAATTGAAATAAAAAATTAATTTAAATTTTCTAATTCCGGTCGCCTCTCGATAGGGAATGTCCAGCCTTCCGAGTGTATTTCGGACATGAAATAAAGACTCCTCGTAAAAAACCCATCAGCCGTTTGGTGGCGGCTTAGCATAAACTGCAGGTCCCCTCATTTGTTGGAAAAACAGCAGGATGCAAAACCACAAATTGGTGGAGGAACTCGGCCGAAAAATCGCTTAAGCGGTTACAAAGCGCCAATTATTTATAATATTCAGAAGATTTGAAGGTGCTGCGAATACAGTTTTAAAGGAAACTAATTTAAAATAATATGTGTATGCCATTAGCGCAATTGAAGAGTGAGAGATAATATAAATAAAATTTGAATTATTTTAAATCAAAGAACAATTTTAATTGTCGGAAAAAATTTTAATTAATTCCATATTTTTTTATACCAATTTTGGATATGCACCAGACGGTGATCTTCATATATACTTTTTAAAATCCTTTGCAATCTTTCTAAAAAAAATATATATGATGACTCTTTGTAGCTACTAAAAATCTCTAACCTTAGAGGGGGAGGGCATGAAAGGCAAGCGTGGAGTGGGAAATTTTTCATTTTGAGATTTATTTTCTGTTGAGAACAAATTTACTCCAATTTTTATTTCTTTTTTCTTCGATATTTGGTTGCCTTCAGGTGTATTAATTCATAGACACTTGTTGATATTACGAGTTAAAAAAAAAAATAAAGGTATCTGGATCAATTTATTATCGAATTTTCATATATTTCTTCAATAATAG